TTGTGGCTATTACATTAATAGAAAAAAACAACAACAAAAAAAAACATTAAACTTTGAACTTTTATTAACAAAATAAATAAGGATATGTTTTACTCGCGTTTAACACAAATAAATAGCCTATGGATTTCCCCTCAGGCTACCTTAAAACGTTCATAGTTTGTGATTTATTATCTTATTAATTAAAACACATCAGCCATAAAATAGTATAATGGCAAATTCGCATATATTAAACATCTACCTTGCATTGACAAAATGAATAAGATGGATATAGCCGTTGTAACCCAAATAAATAAGGTATTTTCCCTTATTTAAAATGAATGCTTAGTTTGTGGTTCATTGTTTTTTTTTAATGAAAACCCAGCAACAAAGACACTCACTTATAGGCTATTCTTGTCACGTGCCCCCCCCCCATTTTATTTCTCAGCCCCCCCAGCTCAAAATACGTTCCCGCGGCTATGTACACAAGGCCAGAGGCTCTGCCATGTCTAGCTCGAGACAACAGTGTTTAACAGACTGGAGATGTTGGCAAAACAGTCATCTGCCACTTTGAAGAAGTCTAATTCTAGCTCTCGGTGCGAACTGGTGAGGGGAAATTTATGTATCTGAACACGATGCAAAGCTATTGCAAAGAAGTCCCGTGAACAGATAATTGTTAGCGGCAGCGCTTCCTACAGTGTCTCCCTCTGCTAACTGGTTCCAGAATTACACTATACATAAATAGTATATATATATAAAATATGCATATGAATGCAACCATATTTAGCACTGGACTGACAACCATTTTCTGCTAGGGATGCACAATATTAACTTTCGGGCTGACACTAATAAGCCGATAATTACTTTCATGTTATGGCTGACAACTAATAAATGGCCGATATTAGTATTCTATACTATTTTGTCAGAATAAACAAAAAACATTAAAAACTAAAATAAATAATTTTAAATATTACACATGAATTCAGGCATTACAAAAGTATAATGTTCAGTATTTGTTACAGTATAAGATTACATTTACATTAAAGGTGACATACAATGAAAATCTGACTTTTCCGTGTTTAAGTCCTATAATCGGGTCTCCGGTGCATCTACCAACCCAGGAAACGTGAAAAAGAACAACCCAGTAAAAATTTTTTGGGTAAACCTTTCTTTGGAAGCATGTGAGAAAATGAGTGCTTCAGATTTCGCTTCCCCTGTGACGTAGAAATGGGATCTTATTATAATATCATCATCCCTTAATATGCACGTTTCCACCCATGGCGCCGCCATTGTGTTTCCGCAAGCGGCACCGGTGTACCAGTTCTAACGCCATGGCGAAAGTTCGACCAAAGCATACTAAATGTTCTGTCTTTGGCTGCACAGCTGTTCCCAGCTGTTCCCCTTCACAGACATAACCAACTGTTTTTGTAACTAACGTGTTTTTAACAAACTTCTGTGTATTTGACAGTTTAAGTGCAATAAGACATGAAAGAGAACTTAGTTTAGTATTCACATGCCATGTGACAGCTGTTTTCTGTGCGTGTGCTTCAGATGTGTGCGCTCAGAAAACACTATATCAGAAGTTTAAACTGATATGGCCTTAAAACGTATGATTTCAGTGCGATAGACATGATAATCAAAACCAGACAGATGTTTTTTGGCACAGTATCTGTGGTACGAGCTGTAATAGCACAGCCCTATTGTGGAAAAGGGGGCAGGGGGCAGGGAGCAGCAGCTCATTTGTATTTAAAGATACAGGCACTAAAACAGCGTATTTCTGCTTCCGCTCAAAATAGCCATTTTCAAAGTGATATAATAAATCATCTGTGGGATATTATGAGCTAAAACTTCACAGACACATTCTGGGCACACCTGAGACTTATATTACATATTGTAAAAAGGTGCACAATAGTTCTCCTTTAAAAATTTGCTAAATACTGTATTTAACAGTGTTATTAAATCCATGTTTGACTGACTTTTAACAAAAGTCAGATGATGGCATATGTAATCCAAATGTAAAAATAGGGAAAATGAACATAAAATTACACATACAATATAGACATAAATATTTAAAATAAAGCGATAATTAAAAAAAAAACATCTTCAATATCGGCTGATAACAAGTAAGATACAGATGTATTGCACATCCCTATATTATCCTGTGCTACCAATAATTTTTTTATCCTATTAACTTAGCAATATCAAAACTCAATTGTAAAATCAGAGCAGGAAACACTAGTTAGCTCTAACAAAAAACAAACTTGCATAAGGAAAGTCCTGCTCACATACAAGATTAGCAGCAGAGACTAATTGTACACAAGAATTATGAGCAGTGGGAGTCAGATGACACACTATGCATCACTGTAAAGATGAGCGCATTTAATCTGGTTATGTTCAAACAGACTACAGTGTTCAAATCAGCTGGATGGAGCAGAAATAGAGAGACAGAGACTGAGAAAAAGAGAAAGAGATAGAGAGAGCGCATTGTCTGGCCCACTGAAGTGAATCTATCAGTGTCTGTGCCGGATCAATGCTGAGAGCCTGGAGCGAGAAGCATGCAGGGCTTCTAGGGGACCACAACAAAGAAGCGGCTTCTCTAGTGGGAGGACATCAGAGGCAGCGTCTCTCTTTAGCAGCGCTCCAGCAGTATAAGCTCTGCCTTTCATTCCCTTAACCTCTGTGACAGGACGCTCCCATGCACAGACCTCCATACTCTGGCATTCTGACAAACGCACTGGAATCTTGCTGCTTCTCATAAAGCAAGTGCTCCACAATAAAACTCAGCAAATTAAGAGCTCTGCTTCAGGTTCACGAGAGGTTAAAGAGCAGAATAGTGGCTGCAAAGTTGGAGAAAGATGGAGAATCGGACTCCTACCGGTGTGTAGCTGTGTACGCTGCCCACACTGTTGAGATTAACAGAGGCCAGACTCTGGTCAGATAGGCTATTGTTAAGGCTGCTTCGAGGGCTGTCACTCCCGTCCTGGTCAGGGTTGTACAATGCCACCTGGAAATCAAGAAAGGGAAAGTGTCAATGACTTATAAGAGCATTTATGATAAAAATCTAGCTTAAAACACAAGTGCCAAGTTCTTAGACATGTACGTTTTGTGTTCATTTGGGTTTCACACCAAAAATTACCTTTAATAACAAAACTGTTTACATTTAATGACGCTAAAAAGAACAACCTATTTTCCTTACACACTCAATACACCGTGTACACATTTTAATTTAATTGTTATATTATTATTATTAATATCACTATAATAATAATAATAAATATTATTTATAGTGCTGTCAACTGATTTTAAATATACTTTTATATTGCAATAATTTCACATTCAATCTTCAAATTAATGTAGAAACAACATAAAAATAGTATATTTTTTTAATATTTGTTTAGTGGCATATTCTTTATGTCTGAAGGCGAGTATCACTGATACCAATACTACTGATGTCTCTAGGAAAAGTTTTTTTTTTTCTTCTAATATTTAACCATTGACTATAGCCATTCAACATTACAGCAGTTATAATTGAGAGCTATCAATTTTAACATTTATTAGACTTTACAAAATAACAACTTCTAATTTAAGTGAACTTGAAACAATCTTCACATAAACCCATTATAATAAATGTCATATTTAGCTACCTGTGCCCTTCAGCAAGCAGGAAATATACAGAAATTGAATAAAGTTATCAAACACTAAATTCTAAATTAAATATAGATGAATCCTTAAAGCTCTTTTTTTCTTTTGTTCTTGGATTAACAGACATCACAGCTGCTGGGTTATTAGGTTATTTTGACTGCTTTAAGAGCTGCTGCTGCTGAACATGCTGTGGATCTGACACGCATCGTATTTTTTCACAACTCTTTACCTTTTCTGACTCACTTCAGATCTTAAAGTCTCTACACAGTTTTAAGGCAGCTTTAATCGCCTTTTTTGGTAACTTCTGATGACATAACTACGACATAGCATGCTCGTAGTTTCATTTGCGCTTTAATATGATACAGCACACACCGCCGTATTTGTGCATGCATTTGAGGAGCACGTGCTACGAGCACAGTATAACGGCTGACAGGACCGGAAAATTGTTTTTTACTGACATATGGCCTGACAACATCTCATCTGTTCTACAGAAGCTCCCTCGTCAACTGTAGCTTTTCCGCGTTCGTTTGACTAGCACCTGGCGCTGAGGTGAAGTTGGAATAAATGCAATCCTTGTCAAGAAAAAAAGAGACAGAAGCAGCAGTTGTGAGTGGGGTGGCCAACCCTAGCTCCGCCCCTGCGTTAATTGCGTTAAATATTTTTTGTAACGCGTTACACTGAAAAAAATTAATCGCATGCGTTAACACGCTAATTCTGACATCTCTAAGTATTATTATGTTTGTATATATAAAAATAATTAATTAAAAAATGTATTCTATTTTTATATTTAATATTAAAAACTTAAAACTTAAACTTACAACATAAATTGTATATATTGATTCAGTAATTAATTAATTGTATATATGCATTAGGTTTTTTCTTCATTATGATATCAAGACAGTACCATATTAAATCTATTTTTTTTAATTATATATTATAATTACATTATAAATTATTTAAAATGTAATTACGTAAAACCTATTTTATATTAATTGGAATTCAGAAATATAGTATTTTTTAAAATAAATTAATATACAGGACCAAAAAAAGGAGTAAGCTACTGTACTATTTCATCTTTTGTCAGGTACATTCCAGAGGTTAGTTTGAGATACGACAGCGATAAGTCTCTGCAGCGCAGACACCGCGGGTGGAGTGCTGAGGAAAAGGAGCCAATCAAACAGAAACCATTTGGTTTCAGAAGTCTTGAGAGGAATTCTTATCCCTTTTCAATACGTGACATGTGGCCTGCGTACACCACACTGTCTGTACAACAGCAAGGTCAGCGTTAACATGCCGCACCCCACACTGTGGCTCATATAGAGGGAGAGCGTGGCTGGTGGCCAGCAAGATGATCTGCTGTCTCAGACGGCTGAGAGGGGAGAGCTCTCCTTCAGTAAAGGTCACGATGCTGGCAGCGTTGAAACAGTCAACTCTCACAACGCAAATTGGTTTGGGACAGCTCACAAAGGTCCCGAATGCTACAGAGACCCTGACCTTTCTGTGTGCACTGTTGAATGTGCAGTTTTCCGAAGCAGAAGAACCTCCATTTCAAAATGATAATCCCAATTATCATTTGAAAAGCTGAACTGCAAATATGTGCTGGTTGCAAAATGAGAATAAATAAGGCATTGGAGGGATGGTATGGGAATGAATATAATGAGCTCCTGGGAGAATAGTCCTACATCGAGTTCGGCGTGGTAGGAAAGGATGAATGGAATCGCAACAATGCTAGTCATGCTCGCATCACACGCCACATGTCTTGGCAGCAGCAGTGTAGTACTAAAACCATACAACAAGTCCCGAGATTCACCTGCCTGAGTAAGGATGTACAGAGGCTTTCATGCTACACTTAACCGGCAGCTCACCCAAAAATTAAAATACGGTCATTATGATCATGTCGTTCCAAACCTGTGTGACTTTCGTATGCTGAACACAAAAGAAGAAACTTTGAATAATGTCTCAATGTAAGCCAATGGGGTCCAAAAAAACAAAACCCTATTGGCTTCCATTGTATGGACATTTTCTAAGACCTAGGGTTAACCATTTCAATAGCGAAAGGCCCAAAAGATTATTGGTTGCTACAAGAGATGCAGCAAATGCTTCGGTCCTGTTCCTCCTTGACTCAGCGCGACAGCAGATAGAAAGACACATTACAGATCACGGTCTCTTACAGAGAATTATCATTCAAGCAGAATAAATGTTTCCCAATCCTATTATTCCCTGTTCATCAAAAGAGTGGAGCATAACGGTTGCCGGGGCTGCACTGGATTGAGGGTGGATGGGGGGTTAATGTCATGGAATGATTTGCATATTATAACTCTTCACTCTTTCAGCTATGTTTAGGCCTGGAAACAGTACATTACCAGAACAACTAACCTTGTGTGCAACTAAGCTCAGGCATGTCGAAAATTCAATCACGCAGAAAACAGTTACAATTATAATCAAAACCTGGTGTGAAGAACAAGTATAAATGTTATATGTAATTAAGTCATAAAATAGGCTTTTAGCCGTGAGCCTTTCACCACAATCTATTTTTACTCCCTGTATCCATAAAGTATGATTTAAAGACCTCATCACACTGTTGTTTGTTCAAGGCCCAAAACGTAGACGCCTACATACTAACACTGTGTGCACGTCCGCACACACACATACGCATGCACAGTGGGAAAGTAACACGCAGAGAGAAGGTAAGGGGTGAACAAATCCATTGCAAATACTCCTGTGTGTTTGCTGCGGTGGAAAAGTAGCGCTATATTTAGCCGTGAATTAAAGTCAAAAGCCAGTGGAGTCTTTCATATGGGCGACTAATTTGCAGTATGAGACAAGGATTATGAAATCAAAGAGAAATCCACCCAGGTGTCTCTAACAATAACTACCATTCAAAAGAAAAATTCTACTTCTACACAACTTTAAGACAATGTTAGAAAAGAAAGAAAGATGGAAAGAAAGAAGAAAGTTCAGCTTAGGTTTCAATCCATCTTTTGTTACAATCTTACAATATAAAATAATAAATTACAAATATATTTAAAACATATAAAAAATAATATCATTAAATTACAAATCTCTCTCTCTCACACACACACATAAATACACATACAACAAAATTATTTTGATTACTTAGCATTAAATTTCTCCTGTGCATTTTAAAGAAAAAGTTAGAAAGAAGGTAAGAAGCTTTCAAGAAATGTTCAGCTTCAAACCATTTTACGTTAATCAATATAAAACAAATATATTAAATATATTAAAAAATACATAAATATAACAATAACATAATAAAATGATATAAATTATATATTATACATATATACACATTATACACACATATATCAAATATTTATTTTGATTTATTTAGCAACATTTAAAATTCATTTCTACTATGCAATTGAAGAAAAAGATTATGAAAGCTCATATTAAGCACCGAGTATCATTATTAGGGTTGGGTATCGTTTGAATTTTATAAATTCTGATTCCGATTGCGATTCTGCTTAACCAGCTGAACCAAGAGAGGGAAAAGCATAGCATGGTGATCATTTAGTCAGAGGGAGAGAGAGAGAGAGAATGCTCAGTGACAGCCAGGCTTTCCTTCTCCATGTTATGCAGCACAGGCGCTATCCCATTGGCCTGAACTAGCAGGCGGGAAAGTATGAGAAAGAGGGAATTCCTGTGGCTTGGCATGAAGTGCTCAAGAGGCGTGGCATGTTCTCTGTTTACAGGGCCCACACTGAGAAACAGCATCTCCAAGGAGCCACCAAACCCTGCTGTCTTGTTTTTGCTCTCCTGTGTGTTTGGTTTCCAGTCTATCAGCGTTTCGAGTAGGAGGGCAAAGAAAGCATATGCTCATGGGATAACCCCGAAAGCCCACTATGGGTAGATCTTGAAATTCTTCCCATATGAATCAGTCATACCTTAAGCTTGCATTTTTTAACCACTGTAAGAGAGGAAAAGTCTGTTGGAGGTGTGCTAAAACAACAATAAATGTTACAATAAAACAATCAATAAAAAGATCCATGGTTTATTGTGTTGACATAATAGGATATTAGGGCTGGACAATAATTCAATATCAATATGTATCGCGATATAATTTTTTTTCAATAACGGTGATATGATTTTTAAACACATTTCCGATATTTCGATATACATTACCAGTGTTCCCCATACATTGATTTATCTGTGGCGTTTGACTTAGTTGAATAAACATAAGCACTGCACGTTTTAAAATCAAAACGCAGCGCGGGTGTTTTATATGAATGTATCTCTGAAGGGAAGCGCCTGTCTTCAGAAAGGTTTTGATGGCATTTTTATTTTATCTGATAAAGTAGCGTTCATGAGCGGAGCTGCTTTGATTACAGCCATTACTGGGGAAACCGCTAGTTTTATCACTCTAAAAGCGCCTCCTGCTGGCAGAGAATGAGTTTGCATTTTCAATAATAAACACGTCTCCAGCTACGTTTTTGTTGTTGCTCAATTATAATTTTTTTTCTGCAGCAACTCAGAGCACTTTTCATACTCTTTATCCTGGCTGAAGCACATTTGTTTCAATCTATAAGAATAATCAACCTACAGTACCAGTCAAAAGTTTTTTTAACAGTAAGATTTTTATTGTTTTTTTAAAGAAGTCTCTTCTGCTCACCAAGTCTGCATTTATTTGATCCAAAGTACAGCAAAAACAGAAAAAAATTGAAATATTTTACTATTCTATTATTACTGCTTTCTATTTGAATATATTTTAAAA